TAAAACAACGACTTCAAGTGACTTCAAAGATAAAAGTCCATTGGAGTTAGATCGGGTGACTGAGGTGGCCACGGCACAGGAACAAAGCGTCCAATCCATCGCTGAGGAAACATTTCATTCACAAGTGTCGCTACTTCTCGAGTACTGTGTGGAGGAGCTCCATCTTGAAGATAAAACATACGTGCCCGAACTTGTAATACCACAACGTCCAATAATTCAGGCAACCGGTTCTCCAAAAAGTCAGCATATGTTGGTCCATTTAGTCGTCCTTCAAAGAAATAGGGACCCACAAGTACATCGCCTATTATGCCAGCTGCAACATTTACCGAGAACCGTTGTTGAAAATGAGTTTCCCTAATCGCGTGAGGATTTTCATCGGCCCATATATGCATATTATGGAAATTCACTTCATCACGGGTAATGTCGCCTCATCTGTTACACAAACATAAGCAGAAAAGTCTACTTGATTGGCACATTGCCGTAAAAACCATCTGCAAAAACGCATTCGTTGATCACAATCCGGAGGTAAAATCTGTTGAACTGGTTGCAGATGATAGGGGTGCAACAATTGGCGCCTTAAGATGCGATGTACGGTACGAGATGAGGTTCCTATTTGCTGTGCGAGTCGTCGAGTACTAATTGTGGGGTCTTCGTCAAGATTTTCCAACACTGCATCTTCAACATTAAGGTTCACTTGCTGATCACGCCCTTCTCCTCGAGGAATAACACTTCCCGTATCTCGCAGCCGCTGAACGCACTGTAGGATTGTATTTGCATATGGGGGGGTGACGTTGTGACCATCGGTCCTGATATAACCTAGTCACCGGGAGTGCATTTTCTCCGGCTGCACCATACACTAACACCATATCGACACGTTCGGAAATAGTAAACGCATTGTTTTCTCGGTTCATTGCAAAACTGGGTTGTGCACAAACAAAAAAATTAAGCAAAATAAGAAATAAGAATCTCGTTTTTAATGTAATCGGCACGCTATTCTTATTTTTTATTTCTTTATAAAAATTACACTATCGTAGAATTACAAAATAAAAACTTTTATCTGGAATCTTTCACTTTGTAACACTGATGGGTCGATGGACCATGCTTAATATTTAATAATTAAGTGAATAATGAATTCAGTACAAGTACAAAATCAGTTGACTGCACAAATTTTTTGACAGTGTAACCTAACCTTCTTTTAGTATTACTAGTATTAGATTATATCGACTTAAATTACAAGGTTGCATCTCGGGTCGCATAAAAACATTTCCAAAGTTTTTAATAAATAACACAGGGTCGGCGTTCATTTTCGTTAAATAAATAAACCATAATTTACAAAAAAAAAGCGAATATAGAACTTTTTCGTATAAGACTTTTCTATTACAAATATCATCAGGAAGCTGTAGTTTAATTTTTATAGATTATACACGCCACACCTTGTATATTTAATTCTGTGCTTGGCCTGAGATCAAGAAACACCCTGTGCATAACAAATATCACGATTTCCCCTGAAATTTTAACTTTTTCGAACACTCCTTGTATATTTAACTATAAATAAACTGAAATAAACCGGCCAAACACTAAAATCAATCTTAGTTCCATTCTATGAGCGTTATTCACAGCCCAAAATGCTCGGCGATGGCAGGAAAGATTCCTTTCTATTTTTAAATACTCATTGCTCGTGTCGTTCCTGTTGTTAATAGCTCTACAGGCATCTTAAAACAACACAAAGTGGCGTGAAAATCGAGATATAAATGCAGCCATTAAAATGATCACCGCTTTTATTATATTTTGACAAGTGCTCTCAGTTCTTTGACATATTTATTTATTGCAACCAGAATCCGTCTCTTCCCACAACTGAACTTGACGTCCCAAAACAAATCCATACGTAATTAACGAAGGCGAAGTATTATTGCTTTACTTTTACGGCCTTCTGCGTTGATTAAAATAAACTTTGTAGAATGTTTTCGAATAGAAGGCAATTCGCCGATGTTTTGAAGACAGTATTTACTCGCTTTTTAACAGTGAAACTGTTCAAAGAAACTGTAGTGTAACGCTAGATGTTAAGAAAATACAAAACCTCTGTAACGACCGCTGGGCGCAGGTGTAGTCCGATCGGAATGGTTTTGGTATTGTTGTGTAGGTCAGACTTTTTTGCGTTGTAACGAGGAGGAAAATTTTATAAGACTCTGTCAATGTGGGAGTGCGTTTATAAGTGATCTCGACCTAAAAACTAATTTTGCTGGGGCCTTAGAAACGTTGCTTTTTCGGTAACCTTTTCCCGCTAGACCAAGAAGAAGCAAATCTTAAGACCTACCAACGACCTCTGTCTCGGGCGCAAGCCTTAAATACAAACCAGCACGTATTATCCTTCAATCTGACGTTGATAAGACCCGACTTCAGCAGTTGATAAGACAGAAAGAAACGTCGGTCAGCGTTGTACACCTACAACCCGTCGGTACAGTACCGAGTCCACAATAATTGTAACTGGAGACTGCTGAGTGATGAATAACACCCAAGCACATGCTTCTGCGTGGGTGCTAGCCATTAGGAATGCGCCTTGCTGATTCTGCATTGATTTTTTTCAAGGAAAAATTTTATGTAGCAGTGTGGCCTACACTGAAGAATCTGCGTTGGAACGTAGAATTCTCTTTACTCTACTTACACGGGGTGTCTCAATATTCTGAGTACATAGAGCTACCAGTTTCTTGTGATCAAAATAAGCAGATTTAACTAAACTTACCTCTGTATAAAGTTGCTTCGTTTAGCCGCTAGGGGATGTCAAAGATGACAAAAGCTGTAGCTTCTACTTCTTTTGTCTTAACATTTTTGTATTTGTAGTAGCATTATTTGTAGCAGTATTACTTGAAAAGAACTTTTTTTTGTCAATTTTCTCGAATCAAGCTTAGCTAAATCTGCTTATTTTGATTACAGGAAACTGATAGCACCATGCCCACGAATTATTGGGACACCCTGTTCAAAGTGAAATACTTGCCATTTTGTTTTTAGCGTCATTAACACAGTAGTTACTCTGAGTTAACAATAATTTGTTTCATATTTCCAATGTTCTTTCTTATGTAGACACCTGGTACAACTTCTGGTACAAATATGGATGTGTATGCAATTCTGGGTTTAATTTTAAGAGGGTGCTAACATTTTGAAAATCGTATCAATATCGTTCATAATTCTAAATTGCAATTTTATTAAAAATTCAGTATACAATGTGGACCATTTTGGTGATGCCTGTATTGAGATCTTCGAAACTATAAGAGATAGGGAAAGTTTTAGACAGTTCTGCTGCTAACTTAATGGCGCAAAACTGTCGTAGCTATACAGGTTTTTGAGTTATTTTGAAAAAATATGGCGTTTTCGAAAATAGTCTGCAACTTTTTTATTTAGAGGATTTTTTTAAATCTGAAAATACTTTTTCTCAGCAAGTTTTTTCGAGGAATTTCACTGTATATTTAGATTTTCATTGCAACGTTTCGGTTGCGAGAAACCATCGTCAATTTTCGTTTTTCTTATGGGCGATATATTGAATTTTAAGCTGAGCAAATAGAGCATTCTTTTGGCTTTTCAGTGATATAATATAAGTAAGAAAAAATTTCAATAACCTGGTAAATCAATATTTTAATATTTTTTATAAATTTGGCAACACCGCATAATTTTTCGAAACTATTATAGAATAGTCTCAAATTTTTGTAAATGCTTATTATTAGTGTCATGGCCTTGAGTGAAAAAATGTACGCTGTGCGTTATTCCATAGAAAAAAAAATGTGATATGTTGGAGTGTAGTAGCTTTAAACAATTATATTGAAAATTATCCCGAAAGACAACCACCAAATGAAAAGTATTTTTCTAAATTTATTACAAATTTGAAAATATTTGGTAGTTCTGAAAAGCCACATGCTAAAAACAATGAAAGAGATAGTAATATCTGGGGCAATAATAATATTTTTCTTCACTGGAATAACGCAGTCATTTTGACTATTTTAAAGTAGTTCAAAGGGACAAGCAGTTTGAAACAAATGAAAATATTATTACCGTCATGGAGATTCATAAGTAGACTACTGATGGGGCTTTGCTTCTTAAACACGTGGCCATTATTATCACTTTTTCAATCAACGCCATGACGTTAATAATAAAAAAAAATTGAGACTATTCCATGGCAGTTTCGAAAAATTATGCGGTGTTGCCAGGTTTATTAAAAATATTAAAATATGTATATATTTTTGAGCTTGTTTTATGAAACTTTTTCTTACTTATGTTATTGAAAAGCCAAAAAAATTTTCGATTTCCGCAGCTTAAAATTCAATATGGCCTCCATAAGAAAAAAGAAAGTTAATGATGGTTTCTCGCAGCCGAAACGTCGCAATGAAGATGTAAACATACAGTGGAATTCCTCGAAGAAACTTGCTGTGAAAAATTGTTTTAAAAATTCCTCTAAATAAAACAATTGCAGACGGTTTCCGAAAACGCCACATTTACTTTTTTCAAAATATATAACTCAAAACCCTGAAGAGCTAGGGCCGATCTTCAATGCCATTAAGTTAGCAACAGATCTGTTAAAAACTTTTTAACCATTTCCTATTTCCTATCTCTTACTAGGAGAGATATATATCCACTATTTCTCTTATACGTATAGACGCTAAATTTTAATCGATACTGTTTCACGTCTACTAAATTTTCTAAATTATTGAATACGTAATATATCTTTGTAATAACTCGTCAGTTTTTATTACAAACGACGAATTTAATATGTATTACGCAGTATAACTGGGTTTTATTTCTTTGAGCAGGAATGAATAAACAAATAAATTTATGTTATTGAAGTCACAGCAACTATTTTTTATAACAAACGTAAATATGCGCAATTAACCTTTAATAATAGAAAAACCGTTACTCTGCTTTCCACTTCAGTTTTAATAAGTTTACAACAATCAAGCATCAACGATTCCTTGGTCTTACGACAGCACTTGACTGTTTCTCTCTTCTATTTCCAGGTGCTTCAGCAGGCGGGCAACGTCGAGAGGCTGGGCAGATTCCTGTGGTCGTTACCGGCCTGTGATAAGTTGCACAACAACGAGTCAGTGCTGAAAGCCAAGGCGATAGTGGCGTTCCACAGGGGCAACTTCAAGGAACTGTACAAATTACTAGAAAGTCACACCTTCAGTCCCCACAACCACGCCAAGCTCCAGGCGCTCTGGCTGAAAGCTCACTACATAGAGGCTGAAAGATTGAGAGGTAAATAGTACCTTAATAACCGCTAGATGTCCTCGCTTATGTCTCACCGACAGTAGTTCAACGCTGTGTAAATATAAACTAGCTGATTTTTGACTTACTGTTACAGGAAGGCCTTTGGGCGCGGTGGGCAAGTACCGCGTCCGGCGAAAATTCCCCCTCCCCCGCACCATCTGGGACGGCGAGGAGACGAGCTACTGCTTCAAGGAGAAGTCGAGGAGCGTGCTGAGGGACTGTTACAAGCACAACCCCTATCCCAGCCCGAGGGAGAAGAGGGAGCTTGCCGAAGCGACGGGACTCACCACGACGCAGGTCTCCAACTGGTTCAAGAACAGGAGGCAGAGGGATCGGGCAGCGGAACACAAAGACAGGTAGGTGAAGGTCGGAATAGGCTGAAATGCCTCCTTGAAACTATTCTCTTGGTAAAACTTTCAGTAATGTAGTGTAGTAATAAAAATAATAATAGAAGGGACTTCCCTTTTAGTGATTTTTCTACCTTTTCAACTTAGAGTAGGTAGATCAGGGCGGGTCAGTTAAATTGAAGGCTTCTATTGATTTTAACCTCAACATGTACTCGAAGCGGCGTAATTCTAACAAGCGTTGCAACTTATTCTATTTTTTTGCACGTCTTAGTCCAGATGTCTTGAATTCCTTATACTATATTTAATACAGGACCATTATTAGTCAGTAAATTGCTTTTTTCTTCGTTCTTTTGTGTCTGTGACACAATACAGGCTCGCCACCTGCGGTTAGTTTCTGCAACCGCCCGATTTTCGATTTTTCTACCTGTGAGGCGGACGGAGAACGAATTTCCCATAGCCGGCCGATATTAATTGACTTAATCAGTAGTGAAAAGCAGACGGGAGAGCCGCGATGCGTACTCGGTATATCGAATTACGGCGGAAGCCCCAGAGTTATTATTCGATATCCCGAGTGATGAGCTGAAAACCGAGGGGGATGTTTTATTTTCGTCGCTTCCTGTTAATCCTGCGGATAGGAAGGACGGCAGGCGAAACAAACCGTGAAAAAAATTCGTCGGCATTGTACGGGGTGCTTGGGTTAACATTTCTCAGTCCGATATCTGGAAAACCGACAGATATTTATTGTAAAAAATACATACAGTGTTGTTTTCTAGACTTGCACAAAAAATTTTTTTGCTGTCATACATGCATACATGAAGTATCGTGAGTGCATTAACCCTACCACATATGCATCCATTATTCCATTCCCTACCAAAGTTATGACATAAAGCAGTTTTGACCAAAAATCATAAATCACCCTGTATCTCAATAAAGAATGGCCAACGAGCTATTTCTATAGGCGATCCTAGTTACCCTAGATGTCCTCTATCTCCCATTAAGCCATGTCTCTCTCGTGATGCAACACCCTGTATAGCTCCCAATAAATGTTCAACATCGACACGCTTCCCTGACGATGATCCACAACAAACGAGAAACGTCCCACTGCCGAAGTTAAGTAACGCAATATCTGAAGAGAAGGCGATTTTTCTCCGTTCCCATTGACTACGTTTCCAACCTGAAACGCGACACCCTCAGTCGGTCTGAATCAACCCAGAACTAATTCCATGTCCGGTGAGTGGCGGGCCTGCGGTTTGCCGGCCAAGGAGGCGCTCAGCGCGAGAAACAAACGTATTGCGTTGCCTCTCGCGGTGTCGGTTTCAGCCGTTTCAGTGACTCACGCTCTAATTTTAGCGCCTGAAACCGAATAGCCGAATGTTTTTATTGCGCTACGGCTCGGTTTTAACCCAGTTTCAGTGTAAATATTAAACAAACGGTACAACAAACAGCCCGCGCTATTTACTCCCGATTTCTATTTTTGGCGGATGCTCCCGGCGTACGTCAAATCGGGTTGGTGTGAGTGTCTGGATCGATCAAAAACCATAATTTTTTATGTATACGCATATGGGAAAAGCTGCAGGCTAAATAGTCCAAAAATAGTAGGCTAACAAAATAATAAATTTGCGAAATGTGCAAGATTATAAACAAAAATATATCACAAACATTATACATAAAAAATACAATTATATCGCCCTAGAAAATGTCTATTTCCGTATTTCCGATTACTTTTCAATTCGGAAACTAGGTCGTTGCTGATCTAAATTGTGAAGGAGGAGAAAGCTCGGTAAAATGACATAAGAACGTATAGTCCGCAGTACAGGCCCCCTCTGGAAAGTTGCTTACCACATACTTTATAACTCCTGTGGTGCATCCTTTTGACGAGTCTACCACACTTTTCCTCTGCGACTTTTCTCGATTCCTCCGCTTTTCCACTGGGAAAAGTCCAAAAACATTTCAATTTCCCGGGGTCTTGAAAAGTCAAGACCACGTTTTTTATTTTTAGCTTTATTTACTGGAAATTTTGTTGCAAAAGCCGATTTAAATTTGTCCGACAGAAATTCTTTCGACATTGACGTGTCTACCGGCCGAAACATGCCAAAATAATAGGGTATTGAAAAACAATTACCACATGGTAACTTTTAGTAAAATTAATTATAAATAATTAATTCAGTCAAAAAATATTGTTGTCGGACAAATTTCAAGCCGCGTTTTTTCAGTCCGACAGCTGGAAATCGAAATTTTCACGGGGTATGAAAAATCGATTACCACATGTCGGACAAAAATAACACACGATAGAAAAGTATTTTTTATAAGCAAAAATTGTAATGTCCGACAAAAATATATCCGCAAATCGTCAGTCCGACAAAAAATGATGAAAAAAATTTCATAAAAAATGTGCACATATATTTATAATTTCTAATAAGGTATTTTCATGTATTAAGCAAAATTCCATATAAATATACAATACAGGGTGTTTCAGAAAGACCTCCCGTAAATACAGGGGGTGAGGACGACAAAAAATAAGAATTTTTTGTCATATGAACTATATGTCTATCTCCTCTTCTCAAAGCTCAAGCTTACTTTGAGAAAAGTCACTTATTTTATAGTGTAATATTGTAAGAGTTTAATTAAAAGCCTTTTTTCTCGAAAATCGTCCACATTAGGAAGTTCTAACAAGAGTANTTTTGACGAGTCTACCACACTTTTCCTCTGCGACTTTTCTCGATTCCTCCGCTTTTCCACTGGGAAAAGTCCAAAAACATGTCAATTTCCCGGGGTCTTGAAAAGTCAAGACCACGTTTTTTATTTTTAGCTTTATTTACTGGAAATTTTGTTGCAAAAGCCGATTTAAATTTGTCCGACAGAAATTCTTTCGACATTGACGTGTCTACCGGCCGAAACATGCCAAAATAATAGGGTATTGAAAAACAATTACCACATGGTAACTTTTAGTAAAATTAATTATAAATAATTAATTCAGTCAAAAAATATTGTTGTCGGACAAATTTCAAGCCGCGTTTTTTCAGTCCGACAGCTGGAAATCGAAATTTTCACGGGGTATGAAAAATCGATTACCACATGTCGGACAAAAATAACACACGATAGAAAAGTATTTTTTATAAGCAAAAATTGTAATGTCCGACAAAAATATATCCGCAAATCGTCAGTCCGACAAAAAATGATGAAAAAGATTTCATAAAAAATGTGCACATATATTTATAATTTCTAATAAGGTATTTTCATGTATTAAGCAAAATTCCATATAAATATACAATACAGGGTGTTTTTCAGAAAGACCTCCCGTAAATACAGGGGGTGAGGACGACTAAAAATAAGAATTTTTTGGCATATGAACTATATGTCTATCTCCTCTTGGTTTCGAGATACAGAGCGACAAAATAAATTTTTTTAAATAACATTTTTACGAAAATTTCCAAACGGTGCGAAATATTTTTATGAAATTTGGTATTCCGAGGTTTTTAAGGATGCCAAATACGCTGGTCTAATTATTTTTTGTATATTTCGTAGAGGGCGCAATATTACGATGTATAAAATAAGTGACTTTTCTCAAAGCTCAAGCTTACTTTGAGAAAAGTCATTTATTTTATAGTGTATTATTGTAAGAGTTTAATTAAAAGCCTTTTTTCTCGAAAATCGCCCACATTAGGAAGTTCTAAACAAGAGTACATTATTTTTAGAAAATAAAATTGTACAATAGAAATTGGAGCCGAACGGTAAAAAACCTAACCTTAAAAAATAGAACTTAAAATGTAATAAGAATGTAGCATAACTAGCGCCCTCTATGAAATATACAAAAAATAATTAGACTAGCGTATTTGGCACCCTTAAAAACCCCGGACTACCAAATTTCATAAAAATATTTCGCACCGTTTGGAAATTTTCGTAAAAATTCTATTTAAAAAATTTTATTTTGTCTCTGTATCTCGAAAACGAGAGGAGGTAGACATATAGTTCATAAGACAAAAAATTCTCATTTTTTGTCGTACTATCATCCCCTTTATTTACGGGAGGTCTTTCTGAAACACCCTGTATATATTTTCCGTTTTATTCTTGTAATTAATTGTAAATCTCTTATGCTCAATTTAGCCAAATAAATATAGAGAAAAGAATTAAACGATTTCAAAAAAGTATGTATGGTGTAAAAAAATTATGCACAAAAGTTTTGGGATTTTCTTTTAGAAAAATAGGAAAATTGATTTATTTAGAAATAATGCATTATGCACTTAGTATTAATTGTCTCAAAAATGACTTCATTTGTTTATAACTTTTAAAGTTTTAAGCATAAAATAAACAGTATTATTTATTTTATTTATTATTATTATTTGAAACAAATAAATAATTTACATAATAAATAATTAATAACCATTTATAAATATGAAATTTTTGGAGTGAAAAAATTAAATTTCATCACGATTATTGATTTATTGATTTTTTAATAATTTGCGGACATTAAATCGTCGGACACTTATATCACTATTTTGTACAGTAAATTTAAAAGTGGAAAAAATGAAAATATAGATATGTGGTAATCGATTTTTCATACCCCGTGAAAATTCCGATTTCCAGCTGTCGGACAGAAAAAACGCGGCTTGAAATTTGTCGGACAACAATACTTTGTGACTTAATTAATTATTTACAATTAATTTTACTAAAAATTACCTATGTGGTAATTGATTTTCAATACCCTATTATTTTGGCATGTTTCGACCGGTAGACACGTCAATGTCGGAAGAATTTCTGTCGGACAAATTTAAATCGGCATTTGCAACAAAATTTCCAGTTACTTAGGCTAAAAATAAAAGACTTTTCAAGACCCCGGGAAATTGCAATGTTTTTGGACTTTTTCGAGTGGAAAAGCGGAGGAATCGAGAAAAGTCACAGGAAAAATGTGGTAGACTCGTCAAAAGGATGCTCAGGTGTTATAAAGTATGTGGTAATCAACTTTCCAGAGGGGGCCTGTACTGTGGACTAGTAATAGTTGTTTACACCAT